TTCCTGCTTGGCAGAAGAGTACTTCTCCCCACCCCCACTCCTCTTCTTCTCTTCTGTGAGAATTTGAATGGGAGAGCAGGAAGAGAAAGGGGAGAAGGTCTGAAGGTATCCACCATCCACCAACACACAAAATACTCCCTCCTTTTGTTTTCATTTGTTTTTCAAAGCAAAGCTGTGGACAAAGATGGGGAAGGACATCATCTTAAAAAAGGAAATAGCCTTATGGTAAAACCCAGTATGAATGGTAGCTTTGCTTATGCAAAATATTCAAATCCCAATGATCGAATTGTCAGCTAAAAGTTCCCGTCTCTTCACTTCATTTGCAAATGATTAAAAAATGAAATTCTTACACATTGATCTAGAAGTTCTAATAATTTCTTTTCTTTAAAAAGCTTACAAAAGCTTCAAATAACAGGTATTTTGTGTGTTTATATAACTTAGACGAGAATTATTTACATCACCAGTTCCTTCCTCCTGTCTTCGCTCCTTCCTCTTCTAAGTCTAAACCTGCTCTTCACTGATATTTTCTGCATACAAGTTGAACAAATAGGGTGTACAGTTAAACTGTGAAGCTCATTGCTACAAGATGTAGTAATGGCTGCCAAACTGGGTCTCTTTAAAAGGCTTTGAAGAGGAATCAGATGCATTAACAATAGGATAGCATGTACATTTCTATACTGCTTATCAGTGAATAGTAATACAGTGAACAGTAATGTTAAAACACAACTAAGCAAAATTTTAAAACATTTTAAAGCATATCCAGGAAGAAAAGGTAGAGTAGCCTTCTGCTCTCTTAAAAGTCACTTCTGCAGACAGTCAGTTGCCAAAAATCTATCTGAATAAAAAGATCTAAAAAGATCTTCCCATCAAAGATGGTCCATCCTAGCTTCCTCTGGAAAAGAGTTCAGCAACCTGGGAGCAGCTACTTACAAGACTCTCTCTAATGCTCATATCAGATGGGCTTGTGAAGATGGCAGATAAGGGTCTGACTTGATGATCTAAAAACCAGGGCAGGCTCACATGAAGAAATATCTTTCAGGTAGCCTTCAGATTTTGAAAAGAAAGAAGAAGGGGAGGCAGAAAGAAGGAAGGACTTGTAAGCAGATTATCTGCTCTGTTCCCTATTATTTGTGATGCTCAGTCATAGCCCACTCCTTGATTTTGTCTTTTTTTTCTGATGTCAAATGGTAGAACTCTTCAGTTAGTTGAAAATATGGACATTTTATTCTGTACAATACTAACTAAAGCACTTCTCACTTTTTGAGAGGAATAATGTGAATGTATCTATGTAAACCAGCCTCTTGACAACTAAAAAACTCTCATCAAGGTGAAGGCCCTTATTTACCTACCTTTGTAACTGTTATGATTGTCTGACATGTGGGTACTCTCCCAGTAGTACCACCTCTTGATGATATTAAAAATTATCTCTTTTTTATGTTTGGCTGTTGTATGTTTTAATAGTCAAGGGAGTTGTTTTAATTGATTTCTCTTTATTATTCATGGCCAAGAGAACCCTTCAAGATTGAAGGGTGAGATGCATATTTATTGGTCATGAAAATAAGTAAACTGCTAAAAGTAAAGAAAGAACAAAGAGGAAAAATATAGCAAAGCTAAGCAAGCCTCCTAATAAGTACAGGTATGCATGACAGTGTCAGTTCGATTCACATCCAAGTATGTTTACACTGAAATCATACCCTACAATATTTCACAGATAAAAACCAGGACACATATGCCCAAGCAACATCCGAGTGCAGTCAAGATTGCAAAAATTATTAATGAAGAAGAACATATATTTTAGGAGATGCTGCAGCAGTTTGCTTTTGCCCAAGTCTACAAGGAAGGGAAAGATTCCACTCTCTTCTATTTTCTCACTGTGGTAATTTTAAGTAGAGACTCATATGAGTTAAGTGGAGATTCATATGAGCCTCTAGTCCCTAGAGCAGGGGCCGGCAACCTAAGGCCCCCGGGCCGGTTCCGGCCCAGGCCCCA